CTTCAATGAGGCAGCCCTTCTCAGTTCGCCTGAAGGGTCTAGCTGAGGACACTGGAGTGTCACTCGAACACAGTTTAATGGCTCCTGTAGCATACCCGCCACCGTGGCAGTGGCAGACTATAGACTGCGATGTGTCTTTCCTAGAGGTTACAAAACATGCACCTATTGCCCATATCCGAACATACTTTCTGGAACTTCAACACAAATACACACGTCCTGAGTTTTTTACAGATGCCTCTAAGTCTAACTCCTCTGTGTCCTACGCTGCTGTTGGCTCTTCCTTTTCGGATGCTGGCCCTCTACATCCAGGCACAAGTATTTTCACAGCGTAAGTTTACGCGATACTTGTGGCAGCTAAACACATCAAACAATTACAAATACAAAAAGCAGTAATTTATACAGACTCCCGCAGTGTGGTAACGGCTCTGCACAGTCTTAAAAAATAAAAAAAACCCAGTCTTTGTCTCACTTTACTCCATTTTGTGCACACTCTACACACACAAACATGTTGTAGTGTGCTGGGTGCCAGGGCACCGTGAGATCCAAGGCAATGTGAGGGCGGATCAGCTCGCTGCGTCCGTCCATGAGAGCACCGCCATTAGATCTATATCAATCCCGGCCCTTGACCTTAAGCCGTCTCTCAAACGAAACCTCAGGGACTACTGGCAGAGCAAGTGGGATACACACACACAAAACAAACTACACGTTATCAAGCCACACCTTGGCCATTGGCCACCAGTATCAAAATCACGTCTAACAGAGGTAACACTAACAAGACTCAGGATAGGACACACATACACGACACACACACATCTTTTATCCGGTGGTGATCCACCATTGTGTGACAGATGTGGTGAGACATTAACAGTTCTTCACGTTTTAATTCAATGTAAACATTTAGACACTCTAAGAAGACAACACTTCTCACTATCCTACCGACAACATATACCTTTACACCCTGCAATGTTCGTCGGTAGGAAACCGCTTTTTAGTCACATCATTATTAGCTTTTTTAAAGGAAATTCATAATTTTCATATCATATACCCGGGCATACCGTAGCACGACCTCTCTAGAGAGGTTTTTGCTGCGGTGGCTACACAGGAAAGCACTTGCCTCACGGCCCTTGGACGCAAGGGTATGAACGAGTGAGGCACTTGTGCTAATGCCATACATATCCACCATCGTCTTATTATCACCAACTTTTGTCATCATTCACACCACACACATCTTTCACGGCATGGTCATCATTTTATTACTTGTATGTTCTTACCCGCCTTATCGCGAGGAATTTTATGGCCCTTATACAGCCGCTTATCACAATCATTGTCCATATTTTTAGTAAGATGAAATGGCGCTCTTTGGCCAACAAATGGCCCTTGCGCCAAAAAACACCATATATCATCATCATTATCACGTCGCATTGAGTGTGGCCAGTTTCTTTAACACAATCAGTCCTCCGTCTTTCAGCAGATTTGATGTTACCTGATCTTCACCGGCGGCGTTGTTTTTTTGCAATCCCTCCAAGGCTTTGTTGACTTTTTTGTCATTAATGGTGGGATGTCACCCGGATTATTGCTAGTTCTTACATTATTGTCGGGGTTGTCCCGGCTACTCTATAGATGTCTGTAAAACTTCCCCTCTACTTTAGCTACCCTAATCATACTGGTAGATACCTTACTTTTTGGTCCCTTAGTGTATACATCTGGATTTTGTCGATCCCAATTTCCTCTTCACCGCTTTGACACTTCTTTTGTTCTTTAGAGTATGTAACTGTAAGCTCAATTTTCTACGTGCTATACCTTCTAACATCGGATACCTTACGATTATCAATCAACTTCGAAAGCTCCGCCAGTTCTATTTTTCTGCTGTGTTTGAGGCTTTCATGCTTTGTCGCCTAATGATTCTTAGTCTTCTGGGACAGCTTGCTTGAGCCCTGTATAACAACCATACCTCCAACTTCCACTGCACACTCCGTAATGATTTTCGTCAGATGATCATTCACTGCGTCAACGCTAAAGTCGGTTTCCTCGAAAAGTGCCGAGTATGTGTTCTGAAGTTAAAATCTGAATTCCTGTACTTTCCGTCCCAGTGCTAGCTCATTGATTGGCTTGTTGCGTATCAGTTTCTGCCGTTTCATTTTCAAATCTGGGCGAATTTGAGTCCTTACCATTCTATGGTAACTTCAACGTACCTTGCCAAGCATTTCCACATTCTGTACGATGACTGGGTGCACACTCATTATACAGTGTATCTCTTTCTTACTTTCGCCATCGGGGCTCATCCATGTTCACTTAAGGTTCGTTCGTTTTCAGATGAACTCATTAAGAGATAGAAGTTGAAGGTCTTACAGGCCAAGGCACCTACATCCAGCCATGATGTATTTGTGGAAAGCTTCTATGAAGACATGAAATCGGCAATGAGGAAGGTGAAAGCACAGTATGCTGTACTGATGGGCGACTTAAATCCCAAGGAAGAAGAAGGCTGGAGACGAGGTAGTATAGGGGATTATGCCACCAATACTATAAATGCTAGAGGAGTGCTATTAGAATGCACAGAGCGCAATGATTTGCGGGCCTTGAATAGCCCCCACCGGAAAGATGTGAACTCTAGGTCGACATGAAGGATGACACCAACTGCTCGTTAATTGTAATGCCGTAAGCGTACATTTGCTTTCTGTGAACACCACGACGGCACACAGCCCACTTGCGATCTCGAGCCCTTCTTCACGCAGATAGTGCGATGTCTCTGATACTTCCATCTAAATTTTAGCGCGCACTTGAAATCGGCTCACATCTGACGTCCATACATAGATGTGGTCAGCATAAATGAAAAGGCGTACGCTGCTTGGCTGCTTGTAAACTAGTTCAATGAGTGTAATGTTGTTTATTGTTGCGCTTAGCACACCGCCTTGCGGCCACGGCTACTGTTATACTCGGGTTTCGGGCTATTCTATGATTGATCGTGAAATAAAAGCGCGACTTGAGAAAGTAAAAATCCCAAGAAAATAAATATGCATCGCTTCGCGAGCTATCAGAGGCGTATTTCATCACAGAGAAAGGCGACACGTGCACCACCATATATCAGTATCATTGCGTACCAGTGAATTTGAGATGCTAAGCATAAAGGTCTAGCTAGTACAGTTCCGATAACAACAGGTCCTTCTTCCGGAATCGTTGCACGTTCATATATGAATCTTTTAAGCAATTTGGCTAGTATGGCAGAACTTGAAGCCTCTCGATTAGAGTGTGGGTGTTTGTTTTTGTCTTGTTTTCGACCATACAGTAAATGTCATGTGCTCATTACCGGGTTTGTAGATAACTAATCCTTATATCTCATGTCAGCAGTAGCTACGAGTTACATCAGTACCGCATAAGCGGGTAACTTATCAGTAAACGAGTGGCTCAAGTGCCATAATGAAGAAAGATGCGTGCAGAAAATGAGGGCTCGTATGTCTACTGGGTACTCTTGCAGATCATGTGTTATGAAGCTTGTTAGCAAGCCATGACGGTGGGTTACTATCATCTAACTGGTGGAGAATTATATGCCAAAACCGCGGTATGAGTATGAGAAACACCGTAGTGAGGGTCTCTGGAAATTGCCACCACCTGACGTTCTTCAACGTGCGCCTAAATACAATTACACCGGCCTAGTATTTCACCTCCATCAATATGGAGCTACCTTGTAGCTCATTCTTGAGCTGCTATGCATCTCTGGGCAACCTGCGATTATATGCAACTCCTTTGCCAAAAAAAATCTGTACTTTCATTAATGTTCTGTGTAAAGTGCTTGCTACACATATACTGAAAACTAGGCGTGGAAGTCAGCTTAGGAGTTAACTATTTACTTATGTCAGTGTAAGCACAGAAGAAACGCAGCATAGTAAGCAATTTTAAACGAAACTGATTACTAGCACAAATGTTTACTTAGCTATATGAACTTTTACGTAAAGACTATACACCATGCTTTTGTGGTTCGTGTGTGATTGCGCCGCAGATCTCCAGGGAGACAGTACGATGTAATGCCTGAGTACTTCAGGTATTGAATGTTGTTGGAAACTATATCAGTCAGTCAGTCAACAAACTTGACTCGGTTCCTAAAGAACTAAAGAGCCATAGTTGCGGGCCGCACCGACGTTGGGGCCGAAAGACCGTGGTCCTCCACCCATTCGCGGGCCCTTTAGACAGCCCTTAGATGTTCATGGAGGTCAGCTCTTTTGACAGCTTCCCCGAGTCCTCTTGTTTATTAAGATTCCTTTTGAAACTCTGAGCCTTCCCAGAGAATGTACGCTAATACTCTTCATGGCACTAGGGGGTTGAAGAGCAATACTCTTCATGGAACTCGGGGCAGTGTGGATCAATTGCCGGACCAAAGCGACTAAACCATCCGCTCGACAGGAAAAATCCCGTTTGGATAGAATATTCAGGTCTGGTCAGCTGCAGTGGCGGGAATTTCCTGCACCCAAGAAGGTAGTGTTTCACTATTTAGTGGAAAGAGAGTTATGCCCCTGAAATGCTAGCGTATCGGCATCATCGTGGAATGCCAGACCTCGCGCTTGGTTATCAACTAGTTCCTTGATAAAAACATTCAGCGTCTAGCTTTTGATTTGGCGCACGCGACATTAACAAGTGTAGTGACGTTTCCGCCAACGCCCTCGGTACAGAATGGCTCACTTTAAATGTGCGATGTCTGTTCGTTATTATCTAAGCGCGAATATTAATCGCAAATTATATAGTTACCGGAAATCATTTTGTTAGTGAAACAAGCAAGGCGGAGAAAATGTTAACACTGCCAAAATGAGCTTTAGGAAGATGTTATGCGTTTTCTCACCTTTGGTTTTACGCAAACTTCTAGTTCATAAAAATAAAACAGATTTGCTAGTTTTAATTCGATCGAAACCCTATTATTTGATTGGCTCCCTCGTTGTGCTTACACAACACGTACGGGGTTTGTCCGAAGCTGCAATGTTTATGCCTTTAATGTACCTTTGTTTACCTTACAGGCTAATTGCTGGAATGAGGCTGATGGCTGCCGGTTTGTGGGAACCATAGAAGCAATTCTGCAGCACTTCGACGAAGACTGCGCGTTCCACGCCCTCCAGTGTCGACGTTGCGAGGAAAGAGTATTACGCACAGGCATTGCAGCGCACCATGTTGCTGGGTGCTCCTTGGATGCTGATACTGCTAGCTGTGCTCAGCAGAACTTGCAAGACAGTTCATCTACCAGTTGTTGCGAGAACGCAACATTGGGAATGTGTTCTGCCCTTGGGAGTCAAGTGTACGGCCTCTCCACAAATTCAGAACACGGGTTTTTCGATCATATCATCCGTGCAGGCAATGCACTTGAAAGTAGTTGCCTGCGTGGAATCAAAAGCATGGAGTCGGATATCATATCGATGATTGCTCGACAAATGAAAGCTGGCCTAGAGGAAGTAAAGATGCTCGTCAGAGACCCCTTAAGTGACCAGCTGTCATCACTTCAGAGCCAAGTTAATGAACTCGTTGAACAATCAAGGCATCATGACACTTGCAACATGCAGGAAGTGGTACACGAAATTAGGGACTCCCAAAGTGAATTGAAGCAAGATGTGCGTGCGCAGTCGCAGCTAATTGGTCGCATGCTTAAAGACGTGGAAACTAAATTCAAAGAAAGTCGCACAACGCAAGTACACGAGCTTATACATGCGCTAAAGGGAACAGAACGCGAAATGAAAAAAGAAGTGAGTAAAGTAGAGGCTAACATCTCTAAGCAGCTCACTGAGCATGAGCTGTCTCGGCAAAAAGAACTCTATTCATCTGACCAGAATAGTAAATCCACAGAAAAAGCCAGGCCCCCTGTCACTTCGGCTTTGGGAAAAGAAGACTTACTGTTGAACACGCAAGAGGGGTTAATCCCGCTGAAGCTGGAAATGTTAGTCCACGAAACACTGATCACTTTGGAATTTCTGCGGCAGGAGATTTATAGGCAACATGACGAACCATGGGTTTCGAATATTACCAGTTTGTGGGGTACTTATGACGACATCTGGACGAATGTCTCTCAAAGTCGGAGTTTTTGGTTGACCCTGAACAATGCTGCAGAGATTTTTAGAAGAGAGGAATATGCCTTCACAGTTGTGAATGTTGCAGTGTACAGAGATATGCATATTCGGCTTACTTTTATTTCTTCGCGTCTCTCTACGCCGAAACTACTCGTGGATGTGGAGTGCATTAAGACGTTGGGAGATTCCAGGTTTCCTTTCACTAAGATCGCTATAGAGGCACTAGGTAAGCGTATGGGAGAGACCTTTCTTTTTGCACTGTGTTGTCAAAAAGAATGCGAAACATGCCGTGATAAAAACATTTCACATTTTCTTGCCCGTTTCGAGGTAAAAGAAGAAATGCTAGATAAACAGCGCTTCATGAAAGACGGAAAACTTTCGCTGGAAATTCATTTTGATTAAGGATACAGCTGCAGTTCGCACGCAGTGGACTATTATTACTTATTACACATAAGCCTATATGTGGAATATTGTCAAGACAACGTTAGCGCCTTTCCCTTGTCTGTTGCTGAACATTCGTTTTAGGCTGGGAGGGTTGAACGCGGCTTTAATTCATCCACAAGTTTCATAAGTAGAAAGATGAACACTTTCCGTTTATTCCGACCAGATTTGTGGTGTGGAAACACGGTGGTAACATATAGTAAGCCCGAACCGGGTTAGTTTTGGGGCTATAGCGTTATTGATTTTATGACTGGCACCGCTACATGCTCCAACGTGTGGAACAACCTTGCATTGTTACGAGTGTTTTGGGGGGTCTTCCCTGGCATGGATATGACAATGAATAAGTTTTAGTGCGCGTGCAACGTGAATACATAAAAAACCTTCTTGATAGATTGAATTTACTGGCTAAAACGTGAATGGCTTTTGCGTTGAGACCACTAACCAAGCGCGGGCTGCAAAATTAGATGACGCGTATATAGTATGCAGTGATATGCATGTTCGAAAAACATTTCGTATATTTTAGTTCCACAAGGATTTGTGATAGACTGTACACTGTTTTTGAGGACATGTAAACTTGGCTGTATAAAGCGTTTCCAATAAAGTGTGATTGGTTTTCTTCGTGGATAAACAATAATTTTTCATTGAAAAGGTAAACTTTTTTTCGATCGGATTGAATCACTCCTTAGCGCAGGGCCCTTAGTACAGGCATATTCCTTAGTACAGGCATATTGTATGGCTATCTCAAGCTCTTTCTGCCTTTGTGACACTCGTAAACTTTACAAGTGCTCTCAAAGTTTTGTTTTTGCGATTGCGATTCCTTTTTGAATATACAGACAAAACTATCCGGGTGAAATAAGGAAGGTGTGTTAAGAACCTACGATTACTTATTGAAAAAAAACTTGCACAAAAACTAACAGGAACACAAAGAACAAAACAGAAAGATGAACAAATTCGCATTTAAAATTGAGTGTAACGCTCGCTGCTTGTTCGCACGTTACCGCAATATTTCATGCGTGGTGAAGGTGCTCGCTGCGCTGATATTTCGACTTCACCGCGGGAGGACTTGGACCCGTAACCATGTGCGGAAGGTTTTCCACTTTAAGTCTAGGCTTCAACTTCAGCAGCACGCTTCTTGTTGTTGACTCCTTTTCTTGCACACCTTGTACGTGCCAGGGTTAATAGGTAACCTCGGCAAAGTTCCCGAACACGGCAGAAGTGGTCCGGATGTCCTGGTTTTGGACGCCGTGAAGCATGCAGTGCAGCTGAAGATTCGCCTGCGGGTCTTCGTAGTCGAGCACAACACACCGGCGGTCCGTTGACCTTCAGTTCTTTTACCGCGTTGATAGTTGACCTTCAGATTAACTATGTCACAGCCCAGACATGGTTAATCTGGTACGCCCCTAACGCGGCGACATCGAGCAGCACACCAGCCCTCGTGAGGGCGTCTCTGAAGTCATCAACTTAATAAGGCCACTCGCACACGTCTCCATGAAAAGACAACGTGTTGTGAACTACACGGTCAGTCAGCAGGATAAGCGGCACAACCTCGTAGCCGTTAACTCTTTCGAAAAGCCGCGGCCAGCACGGACCGCTACCGTCGCTCAATGGGAACCCGTCATTCAGCATGCGTTCAGTTGTGTGGCCGGAAAAAGAGTGGCATGGTATGGCTGATGGCAGGAGCAGCCGTTCTAACACCATTTTTACCCTAATACGTGATTTGTGGATCTATCTCGCCACATTAGAATAAACGGTTTATGCAGCGCGTTAAATTTTCTTGGCGGAAAACGTCGCATACGTTATAGACTATATACCGTCTGTTGTTCTCCGGCAGAAAGCATGCTCTGTTTCTTCGTCGAGGCGGACAAGCATCAATGCTCCAACTTTTACGTGTGGATGTGTGGGCGCTTAAGGCTGCCGCCACCGGACATTCGCGTACGTAGGTCCTTTTCTGTAACGTAACAAACGTCTCTTGCGTTGGCTATTATAACTGAGCGGTTTTACGGCGCACATATCCATTTCCTTCTTCCATGATTATACGTTATTGTGCGCACGATGAAACGAGAAACAAATGACGTGGAAAGGGTACACAACTCCTCCACCCTCATCTCTCTTTTCCGAAAAAAAATCAATGAAAAGATTGAAAAAAAAAAACATGCCATCACCCTCGGTGTTCCGTCGATAGAGATACGACACAATCGAACTGCATTGCGCGCCAAATTTAAACTTGCGTGAGCCCCGATCAAGTTCCCATGTGCGCGTTATACAGCGAGGAATGAACGACGTGCAAAGCGTAAACAACGATACCCCCCCCCCCTCCTCTTTTAAAAAAACAGATAACAAGAGGTTTAAAAATAAATATAAAAAAATGCCTTGCACACTAGGTGCCCCATTAAAACCCGTGTGCGCATGCATCAAGTTTCTATTAGCGATACGTATGTTCATGTGCCCGTGGGAAACGAGCAACCAATGACGTCACAAGGTTAAACAACGCCCTTATTTCTTCCTCTCTTTCTCTCTCTTCCTTCTTTGCCAAAAAAGGGGGGGAAAACGGTAAATCCCACATACAGTGGGAATCTATAATATGCAAAGCACGAATGTGCAAGTTTGAATTGTCACTTTAAATTCAGCACAACGTTATGAGGCGCACATAAATTATGCCGTACATAACTTCCATGTCATGATTATCATGTTTACGTCTGCCATCAGTGCTCGTCATCCATTCACGCCATCTAACACCAAATTTCGTATATCTGAAGCTAGCGCAACGGCTGCGAGCATGCTATAAGCGTAGCATGTTGTCAGGTTTTACGTGACACGCATGTAACGATTACCACTCTTGGACGTGTGATTTATCTTCATCGTTCATTCACGTCACGCCACACCGAATTTGGTATGTGTGAAGCTAGAAACGGCCGCGAGCATGCTATAGCATGCTATAGGCGTAGCATGTGGTCATGTTTTACGTGACACGCATGTAATGATTACCACGTTTGGACGTGTCATTCATCTTTGTCGTTTATTCACGCCACGCAACACAAAATTTGGTATATGTGAAGCTAGAAACGGCCGTGAGCATGCTATAAGCGTAGCATGTTGTCATTTTTTGCGGGACACGCATGCAATGATTACCATGTTTGGACGTGTGATTTATCCTCATCGTTTATTCACGTCACGCAACACCAAATTTTGTATGTGTGAAGCTATAGAAACGGCCGCGAGCATGCTATAGGCGTAGCATGTTGTCATTTTTAGGAGCGAAGCTCCTTAAGGCGTGGGCTGTGCGTCCCCTGTATGTAGCCACCTCTCGTTCAGTTCTAAGTATTACGCTAGCCACCGCCCGATCTAAAGGGTACAGCCATATCCGTCCGTCCGTCCGTCCGTCCGTCCGTCCGTCCGTCCGTCCGTCCGTCCGTCCGTCCAAAAGATGCAAGATGTTATAAACTAGACGGCGGTACGTGTAGTTGATTATGAAAGATGCGAGGTGTTATAAAATAGGAATGATGCCACATATGGCGCGTGTCATCGTTCGATATAGTGCGGCGACGTACGCTAGGGGGAGCGTTGCAATAAAAGCGAGTGGGCAAAATGTACGGAGGATTCATGGTTTACCAGGTTTACCTCCGGAGCTTCGCCCACTCAGCATCATTCACTTCGTGGATATGGCGGCATTTTTACGTGACACGCATGTAATGATTACCATGTTTGGACGTGTGATTTATCCTCATCGTTTATTCACGTCACGCAACACCAAACTTCGTATGTGTGAAGCTAGAAACGGCCGCGAGCATGCTGTAAGCGGTAGCATGTTGTCATTTTTTGCGTGACACGCATGCAATGATACCATGTTTGGACGTGTGATTTATCCTCATCGTTTATTCACGTCACGCAACACCAAACTTCGTATGTGTGAAGCTAGAAACGGCCGCGAGCATGCTATATGCGTAGCATATTGTCATGTTTAATCTAAAGGGTACAGCCATATCCGTCCGTCCGTCCGTCCGTCCGTCCGTCCGTCCGTCCGTCCGTCCGTCCGTCCGTCCAAAAGATGCAAGATGTTATAAACTAGACGGCGGTACGTGTAGTTGATTATGAAAGATGCGAGGTGTTATAAAATAGGAATGATGCCACATATGGCGCGTGTCATCGTTCGATATAGTGCGGCGACGTACGCTAGGGGGAGCGTTGCAATAAAAGCGAGTGGGCAAAATGTACGGAGGATTCATGGTTTACCAGGTTTACCTCCGGAGCTTCGCCCACTCATCATCATTCACTTCGTGGATATGGCGGCATTTTTACGTGACACGCATGTAATGATTACCATGTTTGGACGTGTGATTTATCCTCATCGTTTATTCACGTCACGCAACACCAAACTTCGTATGTGTGAAGCTAGAAACGGCCGCGAGCATGCTGTAAGCGTAGCATGTTGTCATTTTTTGCGTGACACGCATGCAATGATTACCATGTTTGGACGTGTGATTTATCCTCATCGTTTATTCACGTCACGCAACACCAAACTTCGTATGTGTGAAGCTAGAAACGGCCGCGAGCATGCTATATGCGTAGCATGTTGTCATGTTTTACGTGACACGCATGCATTGATTACCATGTTTGGACGTGTGATTTATCCTCATCGTTTATTCACGTCACGCAACACCAAACTTCGTATGTGTGAAGCTAGAAACGGCCGCGAGCATGCTGTAAGCGTAGCATGTTGTCATGTTTTACGTGACACGCATGTAATGATTACCATGTTTGGACGTGTGATTTATCCTCATCGTTTATTCACGTCACGCAACACCAAACTTCGTATGTGTGAAGCTAGAAACGGCCGCGAGCATGCTAGTAAGCGTAGCATGTTGTCATGTTTTACGTGACACGCATGCATTGATTACCATGTTTGGACGTGTGATTTATCCTCATCGTTTATTCACGTCACGCAACACCAAACTTCGTATGTATGAAGCTAGAAACGGCCGCGAGCATGCTGTAAGCGTAGCATGTTGTCATGTTTTACGTGACACGCATGTAATGATTACCATGTTTGGACGTGTGATTTATCCTCATCGTTTATTCACGTCACGCAACACCAAACTTCGTATGTGTGAAGCTAGAAACGGCCGCGAGCATGCTGTAAGCGTAGCATGTTGTCATGTTTTACGTGACACGCATGCATTGATTACCATGTTTGGACGTGTGATTTATCCTCATCGTTTATTCACGTCACGCAACACCAAACTTCGTATGTGTGAAGCTAGAAACGGCCGCGAGCATGCTGTAAGCGTAGCATGTTGTCATTTTTTGCGGGACACGCATGCAATGATTACCATGTTTGGACGTGTGATTTATCCTCATCGTTTATTCACGTCACGCAACACCAAATTTTGTATGTGTGAAGCTATAGAAACGGCCGCGAGCATGCTATAGGCGTAGCATGTTGTCATTTTTAGGAGCGAAGCTCCTTAAGGCGTGGGCTGTGCGTCCCCTGTATGTAGCCACCTCTCATTCAGTTCTAAGTATTACGCTAGCCACCGCCCGATCTAAAGGGTACAGCCATATCCGTCCGTCCGTCCGTCCGTCCGTCCGTCCGTCCGTCCGTCCGTCCGTCCGTCCAAAAGATGCAAGATGTTAT